AAATTTTGCTTGTGGTTTAGGTAATGATCTCACTTAATAATACATAATTTGGAAAAATATCACCAGTGCTAAAGTATTAATATCTATAACCATCCTATGTGATTCATTGACTGTGTTTTTCAGTGCAAACCTTCCACTGCCAGCCCTCACTTACCTTCCTCCCAGGCTAAGCTGGAACGCATGAGGCCTCAGACACACTTAATGGGATTATGGTAATATAATTTTGTGACGCTGACCTCGGATTGGTGCCAGGTTTCTTCCACTTTCTTAGACAAAAGGCACAGAGCTCACCAAGGTTTCCAGCAGGCTGGCCCAGCTTGGCCTCCTGGCACAGGACAGTGTCCCTATCAGGGCTGTTGCAAGATTGATGGCTGTGAGGCAAAGTTTTCCCTACTAAATATGGTCAATTGGTAAGCAAAATACAAAAAAGTAGTAAGACAAACATACATAAGAGTCCATCTAAACTAAGATAAATGTCTATTTTTATGATTGCGAGTGTGGACAATTAATACAACTAGAGAAGTATAAAATGTGTGCACCATCTACACCTCATTTGTTTAAACAGTAGTTCTTGTGCTGAGGGTAAAGCTTCCATGGTGATAGGCTTGTAGTAAGCTTGTCTTCCCAAATGATTTAGCATGGGTTTCCTCTGGATGTGTCTTGTTAGTTTAGGAAAGAACTTTATGGACTACATGAGTTGAAAGCAAGTGTGTGTTTGCGTGGGTGTGTGTGCCGATTGCCACTGTTCCTGAATGAAAGAAAAAAAGCTGTTCACAAAATCAGTATGAACTCATGAACTGAAAATGATGTCTGAAACTTCATTTTTTTCTTTTTGTTTTAATAAGATTTATGTTTTTATAATTTGATTTGCATTTGTTACAGTATTTACATCAAATCTATTGTGCTGACTTATTTGGTTTAGTTCTTGACATTCTTGTGTACTTTGCAATGGTTCAGTCACCATGGATGTATCACCAGATTTTTTTTTTTAGCTTTTTCTTTTCTTTTTCTCTTCTTTTTGCCTTCAAAAAGACCACCCATAGGGCTTGGAGGGGGCAGACATCTCTGCAGAATAATAATGGGGTCGTCCTGGGAAAATTGCCCATGGAATGGCTTGCTTAAAAGAAAAAAAAAGTAGAAAAGAAAGAAAAAATTGGTCCTGTTTCCGATCCTTCTTGGAAACATTCATCAGGGCACTCCTGCTGTTCAGTGAGGAGCTAACCCCATCACAGCCCGGCTCGATCTGTACACCACTCTGGTTAGTCTGTTGTTGCCAAGACCTTCTGAGCTGAAGTTAGAGGGCCGGAACATTTTGTTTAGCAATATACTTCTAGTTTGGTTTTGCATGGAAAATATTAAGATTACGGTATATAGACATGTGTTTTAAGTATTCAACCTCATATTTTTAAAAATCTGAAAATTCATCAAATGGTTAAATCTGATGATTTAAAAATTATCAGATTACAGTAAATCTGATGATTTTCCTACAGTAAATTGATTTTCCTACAATAAATTATGATTTTTCCACAGTAAATTATGGTATTTACTGTTCTGTAAATACCATAATTTATAGCACCACAGTAAATTAGGATTTTCCTACAGTAAATTATAGTAGTTAGAGTAGGAAATACCATTATTTTCTAAAGTAATGTGACATATGGATAAAACAAATGCAGCATAGTGTTTCTGACTGATTTTTATGTGGAGTACTTGTGTCTGGAGAAAAGCATTATATCAGCACAGCCTCATGCAGAGAAAGCTTTGATGTCATCTTCAACCCTTTGACAATATTTTTTTTATTATGAATATTTTTTTTATTATGAAATTATTATTATTATTATTTTTATTATTTATTTTATTATGAAATAATAAAATAAAAGTCTATCAGTTCAGATTTTGTGTAGATTAAAAAAATATAAAAAACAACACTAACAGTTTGAAAAAAAAACAACTACATTTTCTCAAAAGCAAACCTGTAACAGCAGGGAAGCGAGAAGTATTAAAGACAACATACTCCGTCTCTGGAGAGAAGCCTGCAAGATGCTAAATGAAGTCTTTAAAAATCCTTCAAATGTCACCATAGGGCAAACAGCACTTCCTTGCCATTATGCATGTGAAAGTACTTGCCTGTAAAATTAAAAAGACACTGTGGAAGTTTCATTTTCACTTTAAGGAGTACAAAAAAAAGAGAAATCACTGTCAATAAGAAAAAAATTAACACCACACAAAGTTTTCCAGAGTGAACATAGACAAAAACACAACTTCTGGAATTATGTTTTTTGGACAAATGAGTTTAAACTATTTTGATAGTAAAATAGAGAAAAAAGTTTTGAATAAACCAGTCTGGGACAAGGAACTCATATTACTAGTAAAACATAGAGGTGGATGACTTAAAACAGTTTGTACAAGTAGAAAGCTGAAGAGCTTTCAACTTGCAAACATTTCAGCACTGCAAGTAAAGCATATCCTAACTTAGCTTGTTTTAATTTTTCTACATAACTGTAACCACAAATACCCAATTTTTCAGTAAGCAAAAAACTTTTCTTTGACTTTTTCAAATAATTGTTGGGTACATTTTAACTTTCATGCAATATGTTTTGCAGGGACTAGTTGATACTGTCTTACCATAAATACCTCATGGAGACAGGTCAGGCAGCAAAATGGTCTGTCATATAACAATATATTGGAGCAAGAACTCGTCAAACTCAAATTTCTTTGTTCAAGTTATAGGTGGCCTCCTAATTTCTCCTTATGGTGTCACTTTGACTGTGTTTCAAGTTTGAAGAGTAAATCCTGTTCTGAATTCTTCAATGTCATGTCAGTCATGAGTAAAATTCCTGTCTTTGCAGGATTTAGAAAAAAGACTACTTGGAATTTTTCAGTTTTCCCCTTCTGTGTTTTTGCCCAAGGCAGCCTCTAGCTGAGTTCCTTTTTGCCATACAAGACCCGAGGCCCCTGCTGCGTGGCTCCAGGTTTGAGCCACATGAGATTCAGTGATGGATGTGCCCCTGGGGGTCTCCGTGGGAGGTGGGCTGCGCACACCCCGTCTGCTCCTCACTGTCAGAGGAGGAAGTTGTCCTCCTTTGTAACCAGAGACAGCAGAGTGAGGCCCGATGACACTGAAAAGAAATTTCTCATACCACCAGCGATGTTTCCTAAAAGTATTGTACAACTATCATGAATTGTGTTGTCATACTTCTACGGCTTTAAGTAGTGTTAACAAAAGTTAAAGTCAGGTATTTATTTTTGCATTGCTAAATTACAGTGCATAGACAAAACTAATATTAAGTTTGCTCAAATTTAGTTCAAGTCCAGTAAGAATGACTTTTAAATGACCTGATTTCCATTTTCAATTATGTTTAGTTTTCTTTGGATATTTAGTTGGATACATAAACAGATGACAGGGAGCTGAAATTTATTCTAAGATAACTTAACTAACTAGCTTAACTACTTTTTCTCTACAACTACACTAAAACAATAAATATGGATATTAATTTATGTGAATCATTTCTGATATTTGGGAAATCCTGTCTAGTCATCATAGCGACATGAGGGGAAGCCAGAATAAAAGAACAGATTAAACATGAGGAAATAGGCATCCTCTGCAAATGTATTTCAAATTTCAACACAAACCTATAGTACCTGATTGTGTTTACATTGTGGCTGATTTATTAAGCTCAGCTCTATTGCTATATTGCCAGTGAGGAATAAACAATACGCAGCGTCTAGTTTGTTTCTTTAAGTCACTGTGTATACAGGCAAAAGGAGGGGTGTGGACATACGTCTTGTCTATGGGACTGGGCTCCTAAAGGACCTGTGACCTCATGGTCTGCAAAGCCAGAAACCTAAACTAAAATGTCTGCAGCTAACTGTCAACAAGTCAGAAAAAATATATAATGATCGATTTCTTTACTTATGCTGCTGTTGCAAAAATTGCATAGACATTTTTTTGTGTGTAACTCTTAATGCAGTGGATAATTTTCATTGCATTGGTAAGCAGACATTAGAACCTGAAAAATACTTCCTTTCCATTTTGATTTTGCAGGTGCAATCTCAACACATTACACTATGAGAGCATATATTTATACTCTATTAAAGTACAGATTGTTAATATAGTGACATGCTTAAGCATTTGATTCTGTTAATTTTGAGAATTATGGCTTTGAGTCAATGAAAGCTCAAAATTGAGTCTCAGAAAAATGGAATATAGGACAATACCAATAAAAAGGATTTTATGTCTTAACTTTGATATCATTAAGATGTCTGGTGATCTAGCAATATTACAACTGACAGACATTTGCACAAACTCAAGCTACAAATATACATGTAATATATGCAATGTATTAAAGGTTGCATGTGCAACATTCCAAAGTGTTACAAGGAATGGAATAACCTTTTGTGCTTTCATCTGCTGACAAAGTTTATAAAAATTTTAATTTTCCAGTTAACATGTGGCACATCTGCACACTATGCCGACAACACTAAGACATTCCTTTATTACAAAACTGATACTTTTGCGATCGGCCCAAAAATTCATCTGCCATAAACTATCGATAATTTGTATAAAATTATGAAGAGAATGATGAGACACCAAACTATACAGATAAGTTGAAAGTTAAACATCTTAGCAGAAAAGGCTTCTCAGCTCTCCATGCCAAGCAGCACTGATGCAATGATTTATGAAAATTAAAATGCATACTGTGCTGTATATAGTCATAGTATCCAATAACGGATAATTCTGTGTTAAAATTATTGTCTTTATTGGTCTCGAATGACATTAAAATAATATTAAAAAATTGAGTTATGTATTTAATTAGCTGTTGGCCAAATAGTCAAAATTAATAGAAGAAAAATGCTTCTTCTATTAAGAAGCATTAATAGCTGTATTAGTGAATTTTATTTTTTGTCATTTAATTACTGTGATTAACTTATTGATATTATTAATGAAAACACCTTACAGAAGGTAATGTCAAAAGAAACAAACAGCTTAAGATGAGAACTTATTTCTGACTTTTGCTTTTATTGCAAACAAAAATAATAATACAAAAGATGAGCTTTTAAGACAAAGCCATGTTTACCTAGGGAAACTGCATTAAGAAGATGACAAAAATGAGAACTAATTATACAGAATATAAAACAAGAAACAAAACTTTCTCTTTTCAAAAAGAAAAAAAGAAACCAAAGTATTCTGTTGAATCCAGCAAAATTCTTTACAGCTGCGTTTCTCATCCAGTCAAAAAAAAGGAGAAAGAAGAAAAAAAAGACCCATCATGTCATTTTTTAAGTATTCTGTACAGAAGTAGATTGAGAATTATGTGAAAACATTTACAAATGATAAATAAGCAATGTTGCATCACATATGACAGCAATCTAAATTCACCTCTGTGCTGAATTTAAATGATAATTCTCCAATAAAATTAATGCTAAAGAATAAATTAAGAAAACAAAAGAAGGGAGAAAATATCTGGTAGAAGCACACCATTCTCAGACCTGATTTACACTGGCAAGAGCCAGGTCAAAGGTCACTTCCTGAATCTCATCAAGCAGGAAATCTGACCTGCGCTGCTGGCTTTTTGGATTGTGAAGCCTCCCTGCTGTGGCTTCAGAGGCACTAATGGTATTGAAGGCAGTTAAAAAGCAAGCATCACTATCACATCTAGCAGCTCAGTAAGGCCCGCCAAAGAGTTACATGGCACCTGCTATTAGCATTTCCAACAGTTTTAGCTGAACCAAACAAGAAGTAGAACATTGGACTCTTCACTGATGACACAGTAACATCATGGCCAACAATTCTAATCTACTCCAAACCTGCATTTCTCATGATCTGAAGCTCACTGAAGTTAGCGTATGTACAGCGGAACGGAGGCTATGGTGAGATGGCGGTGTCGGTAAACTTCCAGTAAAAAAATACATTATAGAGAGAATAAAAAAGGCCACTGAGGGTGTTTTCACCCAGCATCCCTGTTCCTTTAAGCAAGCAATGATGATCATGACACAGAATATGTTCGGAATAACAAGAGCAGAACACATACACAGTACATACTATCATATTCATAACCATTATATCCTCACAGAGGATTTAACTTTTTAAACATCATTTCTAAAAAAATATAATCACAATTCCAACCAATACAAAAGGCACTGCTGTGAGCCAATTTAAAGACTAAATTTCAGAACTATAAAAAAAGTCCATGTCGTGTTTTTCTATTGGCAATGTGGCGAGGACAATGAAATTAAGGCAACTGAGGGGGATAGGGGGAGTAGTCTTGGATGGATGTGTTGGCGCTCCTCAGGGCCTGGACAGTTGTGTGTAAATCGGTTGCTGCTCCCAGTGCTGTGGACTGTGGGTCTGCGGCACAGAGGGTACCCCAGTGCTGTCGGCTATTGGGGTGTACATCGGCCTCTGGCTGGGGCTCATGTAGCTGAAGGTGGAGTACAGGCTGGAACCTTGGCCAGCTGCATGACTGTAGTAAGAGTTGGCACTGCTCTGGTGTTCTGAATAGTCATACTGTGCTCTTGTGATGGACGGATAAGAAGAGGGGCTGTAGTGCTGTAGGTTGAATGAGCCATAGGTGATGTGCTGCGGGGATCCCTGTTGGTCACTATAGTGGCTCGGGCTGAGCTGCTCCGTCTTGATCTGGGTGGTTCTCTGCTGGCCCTGTTGACCTTGCTCTCCTGCTCCACCAAGGGTGGTCAGAGTATGCTGCTGCTGCTTGGACATCCAAGCATGAGCTCCCACACTTGGTCCCTGACCAACTGAGGAGGTGCTAATACCATAGCTGCCTGTGTAGCCAGCCTGGGCTGCACCAGCAACCCCAGCGTGGCTGTGAGGTGGCAGGTACTGGTCGAACTCATCAACATCAAAGCTTCCGATGTTGGAGATGACATCGCTGCTAAGCTCACCAATGTCCACAGCTCCAAAGTCTATGTTGAGCTGCCGACTGCTGCCCTCTTGAATGGGGCGGCTCTCACGCTTCAGGTCAGCTTTGTTAGAGGGAAGATCTGTCTTTGGGGTTGTCGGGGGTGTTGGTGGTCCCTGTGACTGACCTGGTTGGAGAGAAGCAAAGTTAGACTCATGCCTTTTAAAAACAAATTATCACTCTCAGTCCTGACAACTTAATCTAAATGTACCCAGATGGGGGGAGTTAGGGTAACCTTATCCCTCAAACTACTGGGACGATTCTAAGAGATGTGTTTGCTTGTTGGACAGTAAGGTTCACAACAGCTGGATTTTCCACCTATCCTAGCAAAATGCAACAAAATGATATTTAAAAGAATTTATTTCAAATCTTACCCGAATGTTCTCCCGGAGAGTGCACCTCGCCCATGCTGGACGCAGGAGAGTCGGCTTGCTGCAGCGCCTTGAAAATTGCGTTGGGAGAGATGTGCGTCTGTTCGCCATCCTCGGAATCATTTTGACCATTCTTAACAGATTTCCTCCGCCTCGGCTGATATTTATAGTCGGGGTGATCCTTCTTGTGCTGCACTCTCAGGCGTTCAGCTTCCTCCACAAACGGGCGCTTCTCCACCTCATTGAGAAGCCTGAACATGGCACAAATCAAAAATGTGAATTACACATCTGTGTATATTCTAAATTGTTCATGGATGCATGAGAAATAGCCACGGGCAAGCGATTAAAAATATGGCCTTAACTTTGATATATAAAAAGTAGACCCCAGTAAAATCAAATAAAATTAACATACGTATGAAAATAGCCTACATATCAAAACCCAGGGAAACTAGCAGCATGTAAAACTTGCAGCAAGAAAGAGCTGCAGGGTTTTTTACGGAGCAATCAGCTACACGCTTTCAGTGCGTAAAAGCGCTACACAATCGGACCTCGAATTTTGAGATAAACTCACCTCCAAAGTTTTCCCAGGGTTTTGCTGAGTTCTGCGTTGTGCAAGTGCGGATATTGATCAGCCAGCTTCCTCCGCGCCGCCTGAGCCCAAACCATGAAGGCGTTCATGGGTCTCTTAACGTGTGGTTTGCTCTTGCTGGAGCCATTGATGCGCACCGGCATGGGTACGAGCGTCCAGTCATAGCCCTTCAGCACCTGGGATACCGCATCTCTGATGCACACCGGGAACTTCTCTTCCTCGCCCTCCTTCTTGTAGTCCGGTCCCCTGAGGAGGTGGTTGTCGGACGGCCGGGTGTTCTCGGTGTCCGAACCGGAGCCGGACGGGCACGGCGAGCCTGCTGAGTCTTCAGACATGCTGGGGCTCGGAGCGTCTGAATGACATTTCTCCTGTTCTTCTGTCATCTTCAGGTAAGGGTCGAGGAGATTCATGCGAAAAAATTAAAGACTATCTGCTCGCACTGAAAAAAAATAGTAGAAAGGCCTTCTGTTTTTTTTTTCTTTCTTTTTTTCTTAAATCCAAATGTTATGTGCCCAAAGACTGCAACGACAGTCTGTAAGGGCGCACAGCTTGACCTGCAAACTTGAATCCTTTAAAATAAAAAAGCAAAAAATAAGTCAACCTCCTGAGTCTCCTAATTATTCTGTGAATAATAACGCAATTGAGATACAGTGACTTTAAAACGGAATGAAACTAACTCATCTCCCACGACGGATACTCGAAGCGTCTGCAAACCAAGGCGGCGATGCCTGAATTTATGTTTGAGGGTAAGGAATGATTGGGCAGGGGCGGTGGTGGGGCGTTCAAGGGGCGGGGACATAATCCTACTGAGAGAAAATCTTGGTGCAAAAGACAGTGAAAACCAACCGTAACTAGACGGTTATTGTTGTTTTGTTTTTGCTTTTTTTTGTTTGTTTGTTTGTTTGTTCTTTTTTTTTGTACCCGTCTGAGCTTTAGTCTCATTTTAATACATAATCAAAGGTCAGCTTTTAACAAAATATGTTACCAAATAATGTGGAACAAGAATAGAAAACTTTTAAAATGAAGATCCTATACTTCAGTTTAATTTTACGACACAAACTAAAACGGCATCATCTTTACCAAATAGGCAATTTGGAATGAAAATATGCTTCTTATTAAAGTTGTTTGACAGTCTGTAATTTATAATATATTTTTTTGTTCAATTCAAAAACATTTGAATTAACTGAAGCAGCAAACAATTCATATCGTAAAAGCTTAAATTTAACATAACCTGTTGGAATAAGTTACAAACGTGCAAGTAGTTTTTGTAGCAAATAACTACATGCATATTTCTGAAGCATCTTTCTTAGAAAAGATATCAACAATATCAAATACATATATCCTTAAAATATCATCTTTCTGAAATTGGTGGACTAATGTGATTTATATTACATACTTGTTTTTGTTTATATACTGAGTGATACTGTGTAAACATTGTGTTGAACAGAACAATCTGTCAGACTCTATCTATAGAGCTGCGAGGGAGCAACAAGGGGGAAAAGTGACATGTTTCAAAATTGACCAATAGGGGGAGACAGCAGTCCAGAAACTTATCAGTAAGCGCTGCTTCGTTATCATGCCGCTGCAGTGAGTTTTACATTTAAAAGCCTCAAAATGTTTTTCTTTTGTTGTTGTTGTTTTCCAAGTATAAAGACAATGAATGAAACTGATATTTTCATGCATCAGTCGTTTATTCTAATTTTATTAGACAAAAAAAAGATCCATTTGTAAACTGTATAGTTTTAAATTGAAGTCAGAATTACTCAAAAAGTGAAGAAGAATACATTTAATGGTTACAGTATGTAGTAATTAAAGACACGAAATTTAATTAATTTACTTATATTTTTCTAAATTGCTGAAAAGAGTATAAAGGATACAGAAACAGGTTAAAATCACTTACGACTTTACTTTCATGTAAAAAAAAAAATCATTGATGATTAAAATGTCTAAGAATAAAAATCTCTGATTAAAATGTTCCCAAACAAGCTAAAATCTAAAATAATTTTAAGACATTTATTTTCAGTCTTATGCTACAATTACTTAAGACTAAATTATACTTTCTTTGGGAGTGATTTCTATCTTAGAAAGAGCTCCAACCCCTACAAATAAATTTATATAATTAAAAATAATAATAATAAAAACTGTTGTGACACTAAAATAAGCTCCTCTGGATTTGTTCCAACAATTGTTTTCTACATACAAAGAGACTTTGTTGTAAGAGTTCAGGCTTTCTAATCCACATATTCAATTTTAGAAACCAGATCCAACCCTGAGTTATGACTTCAAATAAAGCCAAGAAAATGAAAAACATGGTGAACACCGGCGAATTTGTAAGTTGGCAAAACAAGTTTGGGGGTATATCAGCAGATAATGACAAAGAACATTACTAAAACATATTATTTGTTTTAGTAATGTTTGTTATGTAGGATCATGTCCGGTTTGCTAAAGATGAATAATACACAATAAAAAGTATGTCAGAGTTAGGCTTACTGAGATAAAACTGTTTTAAATTGAAAAAAAGTGTACATATGGAAAACTTAGATTTCACTAAATAAAATGTTTAAAATGCCTCTATACAAAGGAGTTTTTATAAATGTTTCACTCTTTTATTACTAAATCTTGATTTACAGTTTTGACCAATGCAGTCCTGCTGCCACAATTTGAGACTTCAGCAGACATAAGTTCAGCTAAGAGAAATTTAATACTGGAGTCAAAGCAACCTTGTACAAAAAAAAAAAAAGGTTCTTTTGTCAGATTACATAAAAAATGTTTTGGTCTTCATGCAAAACAGCACATGGGTGGTGGAAACATGGTGGTAGCAGTGTCATACTGAAGTGAGGCCGCCATCTTAGTTTGAGCCATATGGCAAAAACGTATGGACAAAGATTTCACACTCCAGATTGTAAAACCGGAGATACATCTCACAATATTTGCAGCTATAATTGCAGTAAAAGGCTATTTTTTCAAAATATTTTCTCGGAGGACCTGCATACAGAATATGCTACTAAAGAAGTTGACGTGAAGCTTTATTTTTCTATATATTCTTTTTGTTTAAAAAAAAGCAAAAATATTTGATTTTCAGATTTTCAGACTGAGGTAATCATTTTCTATTGTAAGAACTCATACCTACCAACCCTTCATTAATTTATTAGCTCTTAAAGCAAATATCAACACTGAATTTGGGAATAGATGGCCAGGCTTAACCATTAAAACTTCAGCTGTGTTACATTTATCTTTAGTTTTTTTTTTCTTTTTAGGTTTTCCTCTGATAACAGTGTTGATGTAAATATGAAATATTCTCTGTGTAGTTTTCTTTAATATATATAATGCTTCTTTTTGTTGATCTATCTCTAAAATATCAGTAAAAATACTTGAAAATGTATGGTTGTGATCTGATAAAATCTGAAAAAGTTAAAAGGTGTTTGTTGAAGGTTTATAATGACAGGTCAAGAATAGCTTCTTTGATTTCTGAGCCAACTGGTCTTAACTTGCAGTAGAGGAAACTCTGTGACTGCCAGCACTGAGGCATCAGAGGTGTGGTTGGGCATGTTCTCGCCGCCACATCGTGACTGCAGAAGATTTGAGTAGGTCCACAGACTGTATTCCAGTTAAATATGGCCAGGGGAGGAGGGGTGGACGTGAATCTCACAGCTTGCACGGAGCACCAGGCTGTAGGCGAAGGTCTTGGGAAACTTCTCAGCTCTAGTTCGAGCCTTGGCGTCAAAATTTTGAGGCAAACACTGGGGGTAAACTGCCAAATCATGTCTTTCACCCTGCAGATTCCACTGCAAAAGTTTGAAAAGACCATGATTCTTTTTACCTGCTAATTTCAGAGGTGTCAGTATAGTTTTATATGTTTTTGGAGTGTGTACAGAAAATCAGAAGCAAAACCAAAATTCTGTCATAAATACAGCATAAATTATATCTGCAACAATGTTAAAAATTAATATTCTAGACTTCTTATACAAAGATTTATTTTCTTTTCGAGGTATTGTTTCAAAGAGTGAATCCTAATTACAGCATTTCATTCATAACTTCAGTGTAGAAATTGTCTAGCTATTTTACAGTATATATATTAGTGCCCTTACTTGGATATTAATAGTGAAGGGAATCCAGTATAAAGATCTTGCCACTCACATAGCACCTCTCTGAGACTTTCCACAACTTGAACAAACTGCCCTAGTCATGGCAGAGGACTGCAAAAAGCAGAACTGTCAAAATTCTTCAGCAAAACTGTCTAATTCTTCCTTCCGGGTGTTTCCACACCTCTAATTCTCTAGAACGATGTCTGAAACATAAACCGCATTGGTTGAACTGTAAATGATGGTATCATAAAGATGGATGGATGGCCTGCTCATGTTTGCTTTACCAGATCAGAGTACTCTGGCCACGGGCAACTATTTACACATGGCATTTTGTGAAGGGTAAAGTTTAAATAAGACTTATCAAGGCCCTGTCACCCTCAGAAGATTTTGCTTCACATTCCCCAACCCTGACTATCTCACACCTCCTTGACATCCCACACAGAACCACAGCGACTCACCTGAAAGAGTAAGAACAACAATCATGTGAAAAAAAAAAAATAATAAAAAAATTGTTCAGTAAAATTTAAGAGCATAAAACAAAGATAATCCGAGTCAATAAAAATTTACTTTTCCTATCAAATGAAAAAAGTTATCCAACACAACTTGGCGATATATGGAAAGGTAATTGCAATTCCAACCTAATAAATCTTTATTGCAACAGTTATCAAGTTTATGTGATCACTGGCAAGAACTGTTTTGAGTCTTTGTGGGGATGTTTTTGCCAACTATTCCTTGCAGAATTGTTTTAATTCAGGATGTGTTTGGATTATGAAGATGGTGGAAGGCCCACTACTACTCCATATTTTTCTTCATTGTTGGTAGAGGGACTCACTGTGATTTGGTAAAGTCTCAAACCCTTACAAATGACTTTGTTACACATCTCAGACAGTTTGCTTCCCATTTTTTCTTGAATTTTATCATTTTAGGGTACCATATATTACTTTTTATTACCTTCAGCAATCTTAATTATGTCAGAAAAGTTCTACTTAAATTAAAAAAACAAATGTACTAAAGAGGCACTCCTTCAAAATAAGTTTAATTGTATTCCTTACATTCAAATTATTGAATGTAAAGAATTCATTCAATAATGAGCAAAAATAAGTGAAATTTTATTTTACCCAAAGTGGCTAGTGGAGATTATGGAAGGCACTCCCTTGACTAGTAATAGAACTGCAATGATAACTGTCAAGACTGAAATATTAATTTTGGATTTCTTAGTATATGTTTACACTACACTAAACTTTAGTGTATTATAAAGTTTCTAAAGATAGGTTCTTGACCTTCTCAAATTATTTTGCTCTGAAATAAGCTTTCCCAGGAATAGACCTGGCCATCCCCATTGTAATAAGACACTTATTTAAAGCCCTTGAAATATGCCATTGTTCATTTTATCCTTTCTTAGTACATTAATCCTATTGCCACACTCTAATGCCGAAATCCTGAAGAGCTAAGAGGACTGGAACTGCTTGACCACACAAGATATTCCTGTTTCTCCTGAAACAAGCTGGTATCAAACGTTTAACCACAGAGAGTGTTACACGGCTAACAGGAAGTAGTCTACATCTATGGTGCATCCATTGCAAAGACTTAGTGAGTTCCTCTAATGCAGGTGCTAA